AAAAAAAAAAAAAAAATGCACACATAAACCTCAGATTGTTCTGTATTTTAAAGAAAAAGGGGGTTTTCCTTTCACACAGTAATGTTCTTCCTTCCATCATATTCTTGTGGATATTTTATTACAAATTGCTTTGAAAAGGAAAAACTCTGTTAATACAGCCATTCTTCTAAGCTGTGCGAAAAATGAATACAATCTACTAGAGGTCCTAATTTTGGTCCTTGAGAATGAGAAAGAGCTCTTTTTCTTTTAGTGAATAATGTGGTAATGTGGCATCAAAATCCTAACAACGCACAGCATGCCCCAAGCATTACTCGAAAGCACAAGTCCACATCGTTATCACTGTATTGTTCCTTAGGAAGTGACTCATTCAACTGTTCTGTGTCTTTCTATTCAGACAAAACCTATGCTGAAAACCTGTTTAAGTCACCTAAGGCTGTACCTTGGGAAAAAGTTTTGGCTAAATGGATTGTTCCAAAAGTTTACTTCAAGTATGGTTTGGGATCCGTTGAACCAGGTGCCCCTATTGAGACTTACCTCAAGGTATGAGATGATTTCAGTGTTTTATTAACACTATAATTAGATCATTTTGCCTTCGTCCACACCCGTGCACACACACAAAGGTGCACGTTCAGTCACAAGTTCAAACACCAAAAATACTACTTCTTTTAATAATTTTTTCTGTACATTAAAAAATCTTTGGGATGCCAAAAACAGACTTCTGTAATTAGTATCATTTCTCTCTGATCTGACTAAAGATCATCGTGTTTTAAAGCACAATATTCCTAGCCGATTAGTAGTGTCCAGAACAGTTCTAAACACTGGAAAATAGGTTATGTTCATCTTTCATTCATACTCACAGACTCTGGCAAAATGAATCTTATCAGCAACTTCTCTACTTCTACCACCACCTCATCGGTGTATATGAATGCTTTCCTGAGCATATACTTTCTGAACCTCTACTACGTATGCCAGTGACTGTGTACGTCTAATTAAATTAAATGTTGGAACTTACTAACCTGTGTGGAAATTATTATTCCTACATTATAAACAAAGAAGCAGAGGTTCAAAGCAATTTAACTTCATTAAGACCACAGAATCAGTATGTGGCAATGATTTGAACAAGTTTATGCTCTTTTCAAAGGTATTCATCCTGTGAAAGCACTATCCACACTCAGCACCTTTGCATACAGATAGTTCCCTTCTATGCCTCTCCACTACAAAATGCTTTGCCTGGTTGAATACCATATATTATGATAGATTTTTAACTTGTCCTTGCTGCTAAAGCCTTATTCATAGAGGTGATGTTAAGGAATTCTACAGCTAGATTCATGATATAAGTTTGTAATGTGCTAAGAAATACATTTACTTCTTAAGGCAAACTTTCAAAGTCTCTAGTAAAAGAATGCAAAATTATGTAAATGTATAAATGTCCAGCATGAAAATAAATAAATAAAGGAATAAATAAATAAATGTTCAGCTTGGAAGTGTATAGAAAATTGGGAGCAGGGGATGGGGGAAGAAGAGAAAGTATTTTTACTGACATTTTACAAATATGTCCCTTACGTGTGCTTCAACAGTAAATGATGAAACGTGCTTTGTGCAGAAAACCACATGAGGCGACAGAACTGCACTAATAATATTGCCAATGAGGATGGACTTTTTTTTATCCCATGCATCGAATCAGGCCTGTGTGTAGAGACCAAGGAGTAAAGTACCGAATGAGCGCAAGGAGACATAATGTCAGTTTCAGCAATTCCGGTCATTCGAGTTTTTTTAATGACTTCTTACCCTGAACTGCCCAGCTAAAATGAAATAGCTAATGCAAATGTAGCTTGTTACCTGATAAATAAATAAATAAATGACATATTAGGAGAACAGGACTTTAAATAAGTTCCAAATGAAATAAAAACAATAAGGATTGAAAAAATCTCACAGGAAGGCAGTGCTAGGAAGGCAAACCCACCATTTTCTAAGACAGGGAGGCCTCTCAGAAGACTACAAAAAAAAAAAAAAAAAGACCTATTATTTGCAACCCTCCAATGGGGCTTGGATAAATGAGGGTTTCTAGATGGCATACCCCATACATATAATCTAATGCATCTGTCTTTAGATGGTCTGGTACAGCACTCATGAAATTGGATGTGCCGTTGCTCACTGCCCAGGTGATGAATACCTTTATGTCTGCCATTATTCCCCAATGTAAGTATGATTTCCTTCATATGAGTTCAGATAAAAGATTCAGAAATTGTACACCTCAAAGGACTACTTTCATCCAGTATTTACCAATTCAATCATTTTTGCATCAATTTCAAGATTTTGTCAATATTTTTCAAACAATAAAGCCATATTTAGTACCTTCCTTTACCTGCTGTTTTAGTTAAATATATCTACTTAAAACAAAATTTTATGTTACTACTCTAAATGAAAAACCAGAATCCTGAGTAACTATAGAAATTATTTAATTAAAAACAAAAAAAACAGCAGCTGTTCTCTTGCCGAAGATCATCATTTAAAGCCAGACTACGCAACTGTAGGAAATACGGAAGCTAAGCTTTGGCACATTAAGACTTGACCCTTAAAATGACCCTAAGGATTAAAAAAGAGGTGTAAATACATTTACTTTGTCTCTATGACCTAACGCTGCCTATATCTATGCACCCCTAGAATCGCTTCACCCGCCACTGGGGGTCACCATGCTCCTCCCTGAAACACTAGCCTAGGTTCTCTCAACCTCAGAATTCCCTATATCTCATTTATCATTTAAACACTAAAGGTATAGAGAAAGACAAACAGGTTTTTTTTCTGTAAATGAGATTAGAGACAGCCTAAGACAAGCCCTCTTTGCAGTGGACATGCATGAGAAATAGGAATTAGAGTTCTCTGTACTGGCTTGTCATTCACTTATATTTTTAATTAATTTGGGATTATTTTTCTACTTCCAATGATGGGTATATGAGATCATATGGCCAATTGAAAGCTCTGCCTCTTTTAAACAGAACTTTTTCTGCTATCGTGTATTTATCTTCTTGTAACTCCTCAGATTTTAGATCCTGTATAAAATTGGGATTAAGGTACAGTATAAGATGTTTAAGGCTTTGTGTAAGAATTTAGTCTATATGGTGTTTTTGTGTTTAATACCAACTAATATGTATATCAAAATCGTGATATTAATGTATTTATTTTATTTCCATGCAGAGGCTTTAAACCCAAGTCAATGTTTACACCTTATGAGAAAGGCCCGCGTTGTGGTCGTTGCCTGGATCATTGCAACAATGGTTTATGTCGTAAGTTTGATGAAAAAGCCACTTTCTCTTTTCCTACATATTGCTATATAACTAGGACAGTGTTTGAAGAAAACCAGGATATAGAGAAGGAAATATAAGTATAAGGCCAAATATATAAGTAGATTGTAAGAATGAAGGTATTATATCATGTAGATGTCTATGCGGATGAATAAATCAATAGAGAGTAAAGAGAGAAAACACTAGATTGGAAATAAATATTTAAATCTTACCAATGAAACATGAGAAGTAAAGATGCAGAGTCTCTACAGAATTTATTTAAACCTCAAAAAGATTCAATTTTGAATTAAGTCTGGGGCGATATGGCCGCTGTGCGGATGAATTGAGTTTGAGAACAATAATGAAATTCTACCTAGAATGCAAAATTGAGCATATGGATGATGCAGAATGGTGCGGTGGTTGTTAATGTGAAGAAGATCAAAGCCACTTAGGAGCCTACGGTTCACCAGTGAGATATAAATTAAGATGGCATCTCATATCTATCAGCAGAGTAGCTTTAGCTTAGCGGGAGGGTGGGGAGGTGGGTGCGGGTTGTGCAGAGTTAGTGGGACCTTGAGAAAAAACTTTATCAACTTCTTTCTCTTCAGCAAAGACTTGTCCTGCATCATGCTGTCATTAAAGATAATTGTTCCTAAAATTTCAATCATTTAAGTGCACCCACAGAACAAGAATTTGTAGTCTTCATTTCCCCTGGACTTATTGCTCAATTATACCTCAGTGTTGCAGCAACGCTCTGTTCCTGACACAGGGCTTTGAGCTTATCACATCCTTTGTACTGAACTGAAGGCAACCTAAGAGTCCTTTCTTCTGAATTTGAATCACTTCTTAATGTGGTCTTTCTTGCTTTATGTCCTTTCTCCTAACGTAAAAATGTTTTAATGCTTCTTGGTTGTATTGGGTAGCATGGGGATAAGATTTTAACTGGTTATTCTTGAATTGCCTTTACAATAAACCAATTTTATAATCTTTAAAAAAGATACAGAGACTGCCAAAAGAATACATACACACTTCAGGAGAAGAAAAACTTGAATAAATATTTTTATACTAAATGTATTGAGACATCACGAGATTAATACAAGTTACCTTTGGCCTCTACAATTATAAGAAGTGCTCAGAGTGGTGGCCATTAGCTTCCAGAGTACGGCAAACTGCTGCTTGGGTAACCGTGGTCATCAAGATTGCTCCCCGTGCATTTTCAGTTTCTTCTCTAAGGGCCAGCAGTGTCCTGGGTTTTCTATGATATACATCCTGTAGGATCCACCATAACAGGATAACACCATCTGTTGAAAAAAATCATGCTACTTTTCTTTTCCTGGAGTGTGTATACATTTTTTTTGGCTTATTTTGCACTTCCTTAATGGATTTTGCTACCTTACATTATCTAAGTATTTTTAAAGGTTTTTTTAATGTTGCTTGTGGGTTTTTGTTTTACCCTGCTGTAATATGCCCTAATGATATTTTTCCTTGAAATATTTTTTTAAGATTGAAAATATCTTCATTTTTAAAAAGGGAAGGGCTGAGGCATTGCTCAATGTTAAAGTGTGTATGAGTCCCTCGGTTCAATTTCTACCACCAAAAAAACAAAACAAAAATTGTTATGGCCTTCCATTAATCACCACAATTCTCTAATCTCCTTTTCTCACTATTGGCACCTACTTTAAGAAAGCACAAACTCCCACTCTTACAATTGCTTCATTTGTAAACCTCTGTGTAGACTTCACCATACTTGACCTCCCTATCTTTCCAGCTAGTATTCCATCCCCTCAGAACCTTAATCTCATCCTTAAAACAATAGAACTAGGTAAACTAATCCTTGCTAAATTATTTCTTAAAATACTACTAAATGTTCACCACATATCAATTATATAATCAAGTTAAATCAAGGGAAACTTTATAAAATGACCTAAAGGGAAAACTTAGCCATGTAACAGGAGTGGTTTCTCACTGGATAGGGCTTCTCCACACTGTGTGTGCTGAATGAGTGCACACCGTGATGCCAATTCCATAGAAGGACTGAGGTGAGCATGACTGCATGCTCACATTCGTGTGTCCCTGGCATCACCTCCATCCTGAACATTTGTAAATTTCTTGTAATGGACAAGGTGCTTTTAAGTGCGCTATCTTCACAATCTATTCAACCTGCTGTAAACTCAGTTTTATTCCCGTTTTATAAGGCATAAAACTAGGGCCTAGGGAGAAGACCGTAATGCATTCTACCTTCTTCCTTTCTTTCTTCACTTTGCTTTCATACTTTGAAGTCTTGGGCCCACTGCTAACTAAGCACTTTGTGTACCTCTTGGTCCCTGGTCCTGCTCTAACTCCATGATGGCATTGCTTTAAAGTCCTCAAAGATTCATGTCTTGTCAACAAGTGCTCTCAGATTTTCAAAACTTGGAAATTATTCTATCCAGAAGTATCCCCATCAGAGACATTAATCGGTTCAAAAAATTTTGTTTCAATGAGTGTTGAAAACAACTAACATAATAATAGTGTTGAAGGAGAAACATCTACTGTGGCCCTGGAGATGACACTGGGGGACAGGAAAAGCCAGCGGCATCTATGCAAAGAGGAAGAAATAATTTGTATAGTTGGAAGAACACAAGATGAGAGTATTATGAACTTAAGTTTATTATACAGTACAAAATAGTGTAAGTGGTATGTAATTAAATATCATATAGTAGAATTGTGGTAAGAATTTAATTATCCTACAAAGAAACTATATCACAAAACTGACCAATATATTGGGTTTGATATTGCATGGTGAAGTTTACTCTTTAATAAAGGATCAGGAAAACTAGTTTCTTCGTTTTAGAAGTGAGGGAACTTAGATTAAAATGAAATGCACGGTTTAGTGCCTCAGGGTTTGTTAATGGCTCCTACAGCACTGAGGACTAGGTTTTTTATTCTCCCACAAGAGAGTTTTCTTTTAGGCCAAACTATGAGCACCGTCTAGCAATATGGAAGAAATCAGAGAGTTATTTTGATCTGTCCAGCATCGCTAGAGTGTTCTGATTAGTCAAATAAGTCGCATAAGTCATACACTGATTTTTTTTTCAAAGAATTCATCTTTCTTAACAGTATAGCCATAACATAAGCCAAATAGTACATGACTTAGGGTTGACTAGTTTAAGTGTTTTCATGACATTTCAGCATTGCAGAATGATCAAGAAAGCATTTTAGAAGTATTAAGAGCTCTGCAGTACCAGTTATGGAAACAAAGCACTTGGGTTTGGGCCCTAACTCACCCATGTGGATCTCAGGCACACAAGTTAACTGCAATGTGCCATGATCTCCTCGTGTACATAGTGGAAATCATAATAGTAAACTCCAGATAGGCGTGCACATTGGGATGTTGATAGGATTATATTAGTTTCTATGCACTAGATGCTTAGAATACTACTACACATAGCAAAAGCATTACACATAATTCAAAGAATATTCTCACTATAATTGAAGATTGGTATGATTTTAGAGTCACTTTTGAGTATGCTCTGAAAGGCAATTATTATTACTTATGATAACAACATGTCACTTGGCTCTTTCTTATTAATATGTAATGCAATAACCTAAAAGATTATAGACGCTACCTGCTGCTTAAATGTTAGATGACTAGCCAGGCGTGGTGGCATACACTGCAATCCCAACACCCGGGAAGCTGAGGCAAGAGGGTCACTGCAAGTTCCAGGCCAGTCTGAACTACAAAGCGAGTTCAAGGCCAGCCTGAACTGCATAATGAAACCCTGTCTCAAAAGCCAAAAAAATGAAGGAGTGAATATTTGTTACAGCTATATCTATATGCCTATGTATGCATTCACAGACAAATATTTTAAGCTATGTTTTAGATTAATTTTCACCAGTTACCTCTTCAAGAACTTTCACTAAGACATAATTATTCATGTTCATTAATGGACAATAACCTCATTCTTCTTTGTTTCAGCTAACCGTTGCGACTATTATGATGTACGTCAAGACTGCAGAACCTTAGGAGATATATGTGATGATGGCCTACAATATGTGTGTAAAGCTACGTGCTACTGTAGAAATGAAATAGCATAAATCTGGTTTAGAGTTTGATCATAAAATAAAAATAATCATCTTTCAGTCATAAGGGTGTATGTAATTATAAAATACAACTCCTGCCTGGTGTAGTGGCATACACCTGTAATCCCAGCATTTGGGAGGCTGAGGCAGGAGGACTGCCATGAGTTCAAGGCCAGTCTGGGCTACACAGTGAGTTCATGAACTGCATAGTAGTGAGACTCTGTCTCAGAAAAAAAAAAAAACTTTCCCTGTGTCATGTCTGACTCAAGAGAAACCCTCCACAAACATGTTGCACCCTCCGCAGACAACAGGAAATCACCAAACGGTCATGCTGCCCGCACCAAACAGAGATGGCCATAAAGAAAATGTAGGACTGGACATAAATCTCCCTGGTGCCGAGAAGTCTAGTACTTTCTGCACACCTGCACTGACTGTCCTGAGAACTTTGACCCCAAACATTCCACTTAGATTCCTTGGAATTAGGACTCCATTCCCAAGCCCTATAAAACTTTAACTTCTCTGGCCAGCTGCTGATATCACCCATGATCTCAGCCTGTCTGCACCCAGACAGAATAAACTCAGCTTTTTTTTTTTTTTTTTCCCCACATAAAGCCTATCTTCTGGGTGGTTCTGATATAGGGGAAAGAAACTCCCAATTTGAATGATACCTGGGAAGAGTTTGTGTTCTCTAAAATCAAAGAATGAATTTTAGGAACAACAGAGGTTAAGAGCAGAACATATTTACTGGAGGAAAGAAAGCTTCTGTTCCATAGAGAGACAGAAGGGGACCCGAGTGGATAGCCAAGGACCCTGACTTTGCTAAGGATTTTATAGAGCGAATCCACGAGGTAAAGAGAATCCGTGGTGGGAAAAATGGGAAATCGCAAGGTGGGTATGAGGTGGGACAAAACTGTGGTCAGCCAATAAGAGTACAAGTATAATTGCTCAGAGAAAACGGATTACATCAGAGCCAAATGGGGCAGTGAGTTCTGTAGCAAGTGGGCACAAATACAGAACCGGGGCCTTTCCTGTAGGGGGTTGGGCTAGTGGCTCTTCCTGGCTTTCTCAAGGGGATTGATACCTATTTTCAATATCAATCCCTGATGTTTATCCTTAGGAGGTATATGGGTGAATTTGTTTCATCTTTTATCTTGAGGTCTGGCCCACAGGAGGGGCCTGTCTCTCCCACAGTTGTAAGGTATCTCCTCTTCTGCACTGTCTCTATGGAGGGTCCAGCCCTGTTTGACTGCCTATATTTTATCTAACCTAGCTGCCTATAACAATTTCTCAGGTGCTGCTGTATACCCAGTACTTCTGAATTTAGGTTGAAGCATAGTAGCAATTACAGTGAAATGGGAACTTATCTCTTAAGGGAGTGATGTTTTAAGTTTTGAAGCAAGATTTCTATAATTAACATCAAAAATGTTAGGCACATGCTACGAAATTGAAGTTACTTACTAATATTTAATTTCATTATCATTTCTATTGCCTTTTAAAGATATAGAAACAATCTAAAATTATTTTCCTAACACCCAAATCTCTTAATATTTAAATAAATCTTGGTTGCTTTATGTAGTTTTTCCACTAATAAGAATAATCAAGTGCTGGGGATATAGCTCAGTGGCACAGCACCTTGCCTAGCAAGCGTGAGGTCATGAGTTCAATTCCAAGTACTCAAAAATAAATAAATAAATAAACAAATAAATAAAATAAGAATAATCAACAGCTAGGCATGGTGGCACATGTCTCTAAGCCCAGCACTTAGGAGGCTGAGGCAGGAGAATCGTTGTAAGCTCAAGGCCAGGCTGGGCTACAAAGTGAGCTCAAGGCCAGCCTGAACTGCATAGCAAGACCCTGTCTCAAAAAGACAAAAAAAAAAAAAATAGGAAGGGGTGGCTGGGTATGGTGGCACACGCCTATAATCCCAGCACTCAGGAGGCTGAGGCAGGAGGACGGCTGTGAGTTCAAGGCCAGC